CATATCGTGGTAGTGTGCATATTTCTGTTATATTGAAAGATATGCCACCATTATTTTAAAAACTTTAGAGTCAACTATGGTTAACAGGTTTCAGTGGAACTTCCAGAATAAGATAAACTGGGAAGGAGGAGAAGTGGACCACTTCTTAAAGGTTAGTCACCGAAAACCTCATGAACAGCAGCAAAAGAACATTGTCTGATATAGTGCTAGAAGATGAGACTTTCTGCTCCCGTGAAGATTTAAAGTCTTGAAAACCCTATACAGGGTCACTGTGACTCGTAACTGACTCAATAGCACTTAACAACAAGAGTTGTTTTTACTGTTGTTAAGTGCTGTCAAGTCAATTCCGACCCACAGCAACCCTTATAGGGTTTCCAAGGAGCAGCTGGTGAGCTTGAACCACTGACGTTGCAGTTCAAACGACTTTGCAGTCTGACTCATTAGCTCACAGGGCCACACCAAGACTCCAATCACAGTATACCATATAAATGCATCAAAATGTTAATAATTATATCTGAAGTTATTAATGACTCATTTCCCACATTTTCTACAATGAGTGTGTATTATTTATACTATCAGAGAAAATTTTAATTCAAAAAAACTTGCTATTATAAGTTACATATAATTAGGTCTTTAAGACATTATCCTCAATATACCTAAAAGTTATTACCTTCAGCAAGACTTAAAGAACCAACTTTAAATCACTTCTGGGATTAAAGTGTCCCTTAGCAGAAAACAAACAAGAATTTAAATTGGCTATCAGAATCAGTGCAGGTTATGTGGAAATTTTTAGGACTCAAAGGATAGAGAGCATTTATGTGGCAGACTGTTTGCGACTGATTCAAATTTATAACATGGCAATGAAGAAAAAAACTTTATTTTTGGTCTGTCTTCCAGAGCACTACCAGCAGGCATTTGTAATTGAGGGATAGGGAGTGTGGGTTCTGGAACACAGCTTTAACTCAAATAGAAGAAAGCTAATATGAGGAGGAGCAGCTACAGCAACTCAGTATGCTGACACAAAAAATTAGTGAGACACTGGGCATGCTGAAGACAGAT